ATTGATGAATTGACTGACAGTCAATATGAATAATCATAGAAAGTGAATTTTTGTACGTGTACTCAAAAATCGGTTATCAAAGAAACCGAGAAAAAATTTATCTTCCTATAACCAGCTGGGTAAATGTTAGAAACTTTAGGCTGTAGGAAAAATCCCCGAGACATCTGATAGTTACAGGAAAAAGGAACAAATCGCGAGAAGTAAAATTTTCAAGAGAGATATTTCTGTTTCAACTAATAAGATTAGAACTGGAAGAATAAAAATGTACTATTTAAGTTATTAAACTTTAATTTATACCTAAAATGTTTGTTTGAAAATTTACCCCTAAATATAGCTTAACAAGAACTATTTACCGAGGGAAGTATATAAGTTTTCATACTTTATGAGTAATTTTTTTGATAGAGTTTTGTTCTCTAAGATGGATGGTTTGGTCGTGGAGCTTTCATATTTATTCTGAACAACATCATCAGAACAAACTTCGGGTAGACGTGAGGTGTTTTTGCTGATGATGTCGTTCAGAATAACGATGAAATCTTTACGGCCAAACCATCTAGCTCAGAGAACAAAGCTCCATCAAAATCATCCACCTGAGCTACAAATCTTCCCTACCATCTCATTTAATGAGTAAGCTAAAACGCCGAGTTACAGTATAGATGCCTAACTGTGAAAGAGAATATAACTTGTTAAACTTGACAAAGTTTAAGTACACAAAAGAAGTAAATGAGAATGACATCAACAAATGACTCAGCCGGAGGGAAGTTTTAGCTAAGAATTTATTGTAATGAATATGCTGGAATTCCATTCAAATGGTTTGATCTAAAAGTTAAACCGATGCGCTAGACAGGACACTGAATAATGGCTGTACTGAGCTGTAAAATGAATAAAGGTGAGAATTGTGAACTGTTAAATTTTAATTTAGTTGCTGAAAGATATCGTGCTCCCCATATGACCTGAAAGTCTTAAGGTTACACTCCATAGATATGAGCCGGTTGATCAGCTCTAAATGAACTTCCATTTACGCAAATGGTAATAAAAAAAAGAGATAACAGAGCTAGCCAATAAAACGGAAAATGATTTCCAACGAAAAAGTCTCATATTATTTAGTCAAGACAGTGACTAGAAACATTAATCATGACTGTAGAAAGTGGAAAGATTTATTCAGTAATTGATATATCAGAGACAACAACAAGAAACATCTCCCAGTAAATAAATTTAACTTAGGAATTAATGAACAGAGATAGTGGCTGTACAAAATAAAATACTAGAAGATTAATCCGTTATAAATTTATAAGCAGTTTCTGCAAAACTCAGAAAAGCATTACGTTATATTTATTCCAGTAAAGCCAATTTGCCTTGTCAAAAAAGGAGTGAGTAAGCCCAAAACAAAATGGAGGGGATAAAATATCCGGAAAAATTTATATACTTTACGGCTAATGATAGATTGTTCTGTATATGATATGGTAAGGAAATATGAGCCTGATTGTAAGGCCTCAAATCTACTGGTCAGTATATGATCCACAAAATTTGAATCTAATAATCATTCACGTTTCAAATAGATTTATTTTGCGCAAAATAGTTTGACATAAGTATGCGATCTTGTTATCTAAGGCAACTCATATTTTACAAAATATCACGATCTGATCTAAGTTAGTCGCTTGTTGAAAACTAACACGAACCAGGTAGTTGTTTCGTCCTAGTATGAAACCTAAAGATCTTAGGCCCCATCCCCGGTAAAGTTGTGTATGGGCACTGCTGAGAGGTTCCATGCAATGATCTGCACAAAGTTTTATACTAATAACTCATATTATTCTGACCACCGAATTTTGTTTCTAATATTCCTTCACTTTTGGTAGAGCATTAATAATTTCTATGTAGGTCCTTGTAATTATCAGTCAATCAATATTTTAAATCCATTTACTAAATAGTAGTTTAATCATATTCTTAATATCATCATTCATATACGATTTTCATTGGGTAGAAGTTTTTAATTTATCTCTCTAAAATTCAAACTCAATGTTTAGACGAAAGGGACATATTTCATCTTAAAAGGATTGATTGAAGATAAGATTTACAACCCTCTAGAATAAAATGAAATACATCATATGAGAATATTATTAGGAATTCCACATTTCAAAAACATTTATAAACCCACACATGTGTGACATATTGTTATCTAAGATTTATACTGACAAAGCTATTTCCTCTTCAACTAGTAGGGTTGATAGATTAAGCATATTGACAAAAACACCTACATTCAACTATGCTATTATTTACATGTGTTACTTACTTTCATTGGGTTGAATAAATAATTAGGATGAAACAAGCTTCAAGTAAATATAATCTGACATTTTATTATAATGATATTTATTTCAGTTTGTTTATAACGGATCATTTTCGAGCTTTTTAGTAGTTACAAGATTTGGTGCAATATTCAAAGAGTTTGTGAGAATTTCGATATTAGGATTTAACACTATAGATTTAACAATGCCAGTACAGTTCGAAAATGAGGATGGAGTAAGTGACAGAATTCAGTAAGTTAACGTGAAGATGAAGATATTGAATGATTTTAAACAAAAAAAATTATAGAATGATTCGAAAATATTAGAAAAACATTCAAATCACTCATAATCTTTAAGTCATACTGTGGTGTATGCTATTGATGTCGATAGATATAAGTAGTATGTATCATCAGTCGAAAGTGAAATGCCTGGCGACAGAAGGTTAAGAAGATCGGATAAAAGAGAAGGAGAACAGAGAATGATTGATGTGAAAAAAGACAAGAAACAATCAAGTCTGAGACAACTGATTGCAAACGAAGTATATACTGTATGGTTCTCAGATTTTACTGAGAAATTTTGTAATTTTGTGTTCAGATACATTCGACTGTTCTCACTTGTGTTCTCGTTCACTACAGTACAACTTTATTTTAACACAGATTTTCTTGCAAAATGATTTATATAGGCTGTAGTCAGCTTTGTATTTGTTTAAAAATTATTTCAAAATGTTGCTAACCATAAATGAAATGGAACTAGTTTAATTATAGATCATTTTTGACTATCGTTATTTACCTAACATTTTCTTAATTATCATATCAATAGAAAAACATTATACTGTCCCCATTTTTATCCCCAATAAATTATTGACTGTTTACAAATTGTTTATAATCTTTGTGTAAATAAACACTGTACAGTTTTAGCTATGAGGCAGCTAAATTCTCTGATAGTTTTCTCTACTTCTGACTTCTTCAAGTTATCGGTACATTGATTATGTCACAATTTTTCAACCTTGAATAGTTCATTTTTGAAATAATTTTATCAATATTTTCTTACTTAACCATAGCTATGTTGAACAATATCATTCATCAGTCAGTCAACCAGCTACAATGTATGACCAGGTACATAAATGCATCAGTCCAAGTTGCCACACCTTTATAGTACAACGAGATGAACACCAAATTTACAGAAGCAGTTACTTCAATGGTAATAATATATGAACAAAAGACTGCGTATAAATATATCATTCATAGAAAATTTTCAATTATCATCATTAAGTTTCATTAGTGTAAACATGAACTAAAACCAGAAGAACTCTAGTTTGCAGTTTAATAATCACCGTGAATCTTTGACTCTTCTAAGAATAAATATATATCTCAGAATAATCACTATATACACATTATTGTTGTCCTGCTTAATAAAAAAAAGACTTTTTCAATTTTGACCACTCAATGTTATTTTATGACTATTTCACAATATGATTAACGAATGTCAAACATCATTTCATCTCATTAAATTGTTGCATTACACTACAACCTTCGTAGAAATCATTAATAGTCAGAAATATTGAAAAATGTAAATACTGAATTAATTTGAACAAAATTTAATATCACTAACTGATATTGGTTAAATATTTTTGAGCTTTTCAGGAATTGACAATGTATTTCAATTAAACTTTAATCAAACCCAATGTCTTCTTAGTTTATTTTATTCAAATTATTATTGAGATATAATTTAAATTGACTTATGAACAAATAACAACTAGATAAAAGACGCGAAATAAATGGAAAGTGTACAAAGTCAATGAATAATTGAACATTATCTAAGGATAAAACACTCCTCACTTATTTATAGATAATATGATGTTTACTTGTTTATTCATTTATTTATTTAATTTTATTTATATTTTTAACTGTCGCTCAATTAGTTTGTTAGTTGGTTATATATGCATCAAACACATTTAGATTAAACTTATTAAAATGAAACAAAGTCAAATAGAAGAACGAAAAGAGATTAGTGTTGACATTTGCTTTGGAAATTATTCATTATTTCTTCATTTTTTTTCTATCAGTTCATTTTTCTAGTCCATTTGGTGTGTTCCATTCTGTATCTAAGCTTGTGTCGTCTTTGTGTATTTTTATAAACAGTTACAAAGAATAAACAAAATATCAATAAATGAGGACGTTCAGGATGAATAGACTATGCTACATTTTTATATTTAGAGAAGAAAATGTTCCGGAAAAATGTCAGTAGTTTCAACTACACAAATAATGTTTACATTAGACAACATAAAAGTTACATATCATGCCATAAAGGTGGTCCATTTAATATTAATTCACTAAATATCATCCAACTTTAATGTGCATATACGTTAATTATACCAGTGGGTTATCAAAACAAATATACACTGGATGGTTTTGAATAAATAACTAATAGATTAACAAACAAGATTTCAAAATACTGATATAAATATCTCAGAAATATCATCTTTAATGAAATCGTAAGTTTAGATTGAACTTTATGGTACATAACTCCATTAAAGTAATCAATCTGAGTTCAAAGTGATTTTTCACTACTGATATTTTTAAAAATACACATTTGGGTATCTAAAAACCAATCTAATCACCTATAATGAATTCAATAAAGAGTTATGCATCTTATAAAATGAAATTAGATGAGAATAAAATGAGAATAAAATCATAGAGTATGATAAACTGTCTAACTTACTTCTAATGGAAAATTGATTCCTGTTGAAAATCTACATGGCTGTAGATTGGTTTCGTTGTTATCTTATCATATAAAAATAAAAATTTACAATTAAATAAATAGCTAAGATTATATTACTTACAAACGCAGTCTACGGTAGTATAATTGGCTAAGTGCATGACAGATATAACTACTTTTAATTATTTTTGATAGAATTAAGTGATTTTACTTAGTTTAGACCAAAGAAATCAATCAGATGGGATGTTTATGACTATTTTGCTTGGCTTTCAACGTTTATACCCAACCCAGTCCGAATTTAACATATGTAATAGTTGGATTGTAGCAATAAAGATGTATTAATCAGCTTAAAATAATAGTAAGTCGTCGGTGGCATGAAATAAGCGCAATCGACCAAAATCATCAAACTTTGATTGTTTACTAACCTGCATATAAATGAAAAATCATTCATTACATTTAGGTACCTGGAGCATCTTTTAATACTGTAGTGGATTCTACTCGCTACTTAGATTAAATACGTTACAAAAAGTTAAAATTAGATTGAAACTAATTCCTGTAGCAAAAGATTGATCATACTTTGGTTACTACTGCTAATTTTATCAATTATTACGTTTCAACTAGACTACCGATCACCCATAACTCATTTCCAACGTCTTATTCAGATTCATTTATTATGCTTGGTATAAAACGGCACTAAGAAATCAGTCAAAGTAAAATGTGAATTCTGTGAATATACACCAAGAAGGAAATCCTAACCAATAAATAATAGTGAAAAACAAGAATAACGCACATGAAACAACGAAATTCGAATAGAGGGACAACTATGATGGATTTCATTTTTGAGTTCACTCCTAGCTCCCAGAGAGGGTAAATAATGCAGGGTGTGGGGGCAACTAGGAAGATAGGGATGAAAAAATTATCAAGCCACTGGAACTATCGTTTTGAATATGTTTGAATACTTGATACTGGGTCTTGGTAAGGTGTTGACGATGCAGATATGGGTTGTATAATATGTTTTTAAACGTATAAAGTGTGCATAAACTTACGCCCTGGAATAATTCTGACCGGAAACAGATGAATTGTTTATTAAAAACACTTTGTTCAAACACATACTAGGTAGAATATAGAGGTAAGATTTTAATGCTATTAAGTCGTTTGAACTGGCTGATAAGCATCCACCTGAGTTGCAAGTTTTCTCTTTACTGGCAAAGGGTAAGACTAAAACAACTCTGACGTTCATAATATAAGAGGAACTATTCACGAATACTTAGAAATAAAGATGCTGGTAAAGTAATAAATCATAGAAAGAAGTCTCATGTATGAAAACATTTGCTATACATTATTTTATGCAAATGGACAATTTGACTTTCGATCAAGAGATAGTAGTAGTAGTAGTAATAATAATAATAGTGGTAGTTAACAGTTTCAAACAAAGTTAAATGTTGGTACTGGTCGCAGTACCTAACCAGAATTGATCATGTGTTCGAGAAATGATTTATTAATTGACTATCATTCACTTTTAGATAGTCAAACAGATTAGTGTCTAGATAAAAGTTTGTAATGTGAACTGTTTGTGCAGTCCGTATAAACCCGATTTGACGAAAGTGAATAAATCAATCATTTTCACATAAAATTAATAATATACGTTTAAAACCAATTTATACAAATAACAGAAACATTAATTATATTTTGATAAAATCATTCAATTTACTCACCACTTTGTTCCTAGTGGGAGAAAAAAGATACAAATAATACTAAAACTGATCAAAAATACAAATAAATTGAATTCAGTTACTTTAATGTAGATACGTTTCAGTATGAACTGATGTCAGCAAGAGAGAAATTAAACATTGTGGAGCACTGGAAATTTGTTTCGTTACAGTTTAGAACTTCGTAACTTCGCAACACAGTGTGAGATTAACTTGCAGAAATTATAGTGTAAAGCCTTTCATTTTTGAAGTCAATAAATTAGTAAGTAATTCATCGAATCACCGGACATTATGAATGGATCGCTTTATATCGTAAGTCGACCAGAGTGAAAAGAATACTGAATCCTCAAGCTTCGAGTGACTTAGAGAAAAGCTTGAAGATCTTTGGTTCAGTCCCCACTCACGGTTACAGATATGTCTTGATAAATAGTCTGAAGCAAGGATGGCGAGACTATAATTTATGGACTAACCAATCACATTTGGGATAGTAGGTCTTGGATTTGGGCGCGAAATTCATCCACCCATTTGTCTAAATAGTGTTTTTTCATTTAGCTCTTGCCGATTCGTGATGAAAACCCTAAATATAATTTCCAACCGTATGCATCAACAGTAAATAATAACCCTAATTCCTAATATCGGTTTATAACTAATTTAGCCCTAGTAAGTAGGTCAATTTAGGGTCACTTTAGCGTTGCTCAAAGGTCGTCCGTAAATTATAGCCTCACAACAAGGGCATAACTCTCAGTAGTCTTTAGTTACCATTGGTTCTCGATTAGTCCTGTAACATTATTTTCAAAGTAGGTAAAATAATACACATGCACGAACCAACTAAATCAGATATATTAAACTAGAATTATTCAACGAAACAATCTGAAACAAATCAATTGAACTATTCTGTAATATTTAATTCATATATTGGGTAGTTATTCTCATTGACTATCTCATCATTACAGTCATCATAATTGTGATGTGAAGTAAAAGATTAAATCTGTAATATGTGTTCGCTTCCTTTATTCTATCCACATTGAAGCATTTGCAAATGAATGTAACGAATGAAATATTAACAAATAAACTAAAATATTTAGGAAGTGTAATATAATTCATACATCTGCCTATAAAATTAGTCAGAATATACACTTTGTATCATATTTAGATATAAAAATGACCTTTAGGAAACAATAATAAGTGACAACAAATTACAAAATAAGAGGTGATCTTGTTATTGTCACAATTTTATCTGTAAAACGTTTATCACAGAAAGAAAATAAAAATTTCCTCTGCAATTATTTTATAGAAAAACAACCAACACTTTTCTCAATAGAACATAGAAAGTTGTGAATAATGAATAAAATTAGCTACTTGACCTCTAAATCCTTATTTCAACGTTTTAGTGGTTTCTAACTTATTTCTAGATAAGTTATAGACCGAGATGCAGTTTTCTGATTATGCTATAAATAACCTTAGAAAACTAAGATAAGTTCATAGTTCATAACATGGACTGATACAACTTAGACGACTACTGAAAACCAAGAATCACGGGACGGCTTTTTCGTCCTAGTATGAGACTACTCAGGAGTACAAACTCACGACCCTATTGGGGAATGGAACCTAGGAACTTCAAAACTGTTGACAACCCCTTGACCTTTAGAGCACTAAGCCAACATTCAACATTCTACATGTCTATTATGACAGATTCTTTTAGTAAAGCTTTAAACTGAGACCCTTTTGCGATTTATACCATTTTTAATACAAGTATATGTGGTCCTAACTGTCTCAAGACTCGAAAACTTCATTTAGATATCCTGTAAACTAGAATGAGTAGTGGTGTAAAACTATCTGGAATATATACTTTGTAACTTAGATTAAACTTTACTTACCATAAATTCTGAGAAAGCACTCGATGGTGACGTTCTACTTGGCCTGTGAATTGATTCACGATGCAACGCTGAACATAAGTAGTCGTTTGTTTTATTTAAACGTTCCATTGTTGTTCTGTATTGACAATAAAATAACACATTGGTCAATGAAAAAGTTCCTACTTTTTGGCTGAGTGTAGAACCAGTTATTAAACAGTCAACAAGAAACCACGGAGTCTTTAAAGCCTAGTCTTTCCCATTCTGGAATTCATCAGTAGTTCATATTTAATAATTATCACTCGTAGGTTCCATTCAGATAATACTAACTTTCCGTTTACTATGATAAACACCTTTCAGCAAAGTATATAGTGTTTCCAACTGATAAGCCAAAAATAGGTCTTAAAAAATTGGAGATTTCAACAGGGCTTCTTGGTCAACTTAATAGCTGACGACTTTTAGTTTATCTGACATGTAATACGTTTCAATGACAGCAGATATAACACAAAACAACGAAGTGCCATATTCAATGTTTAGATTTTCCTATTAACCAGGCAATTGAAATAAGTATTTCAAAGTGAATAGTGGACTATTCAGTCAAAGTTTGATGCAAGTATATTGATTTTCAAACAAGTATCAGGATTTAGATTGGTAAGACTACTTATATCTTTTTTTTCTACAGTCACAGAAACAGAAAAACACATAATCAACAAGGATTTTTCAATATCTAACATTTTCTATTATTACTGATACTGTTACTACTCCTACTAATCTGGGATTTGTCTTGAAAAAATGCTATGTCTATGTGCTAACGTGGTGTGCCAACCTGAACAAATGCGCATGTGAGTCAGGTTCTATGTTGCGTATAACTGACTGAACAATATGGTATGTAGGACAAGAGAAATGATTATATCAACTTGCATAGAAAATTAAATATACATGAAACATGGTTCAAAAGAAACAAATGAAACTGAGAAATGAAAGTTATGAAATCATACTAAACTGAAGACTTAGAGGAAGAAAAAGAATATAATTAAGACTACTTTTCAGTCATGATGCTTAAAGCTTCCGAATAAAAATTATGACTTTAACAGATTTCAACTAGAACGTTTAAATCTACCCAAACACTTTGGATCACAAATAAGTACTTCATGGACTGAAGCCATATATTTGTATAATAACTTTTAGTCTTTTATAACTTCCTAACTTTTTGACCAGAGTAGAACGTTAGAGTAGGAAAATGACAAAGTGTTTGTAAAATAAACCACTATAATTTAAGTGTATGAAGGTAGACAGCCTACACGACAGATTTTCCATTTATACCATAAAACCCCACCTTAACCTCTTCATTACTGAACTAGTATTTCTAACACATCCAAGTAATCTTTCAGGGTATACCTATTGCTGAATACTAGCTATCTAAGAACGTTTTCAACCCTCCAAGGGCCATTTTACACAATCATTTAGTAATTCATCATCATCTTAACGAAACAGATTTACATTATCTACTAATCAGAAGTTGGTTATTGAGTCTCTAGGCGGGAGATCAGTAATTGGAAACCCAAACAATGAGAACACTAATTAATAAGTCCAGTTTCTGGAATCTGGCTAGACCTCTGACACTAAACCAGAACACTGGACCATCAATCTAAAGCACCTCATCCAGTATCCCGTTATTTTTATAGTAATGGTTATGCATAAGAGAGACGATGAATTTAATTAGGAAGAGTTAACAACACAAACAGAGGGAAATTCAGGTAATCAATGACTAGATACTATTTATATGGACATTTTAGAATATTAAAAACGGACACGGATTATTCATCTTATGAATAATTTATTGACTGTTCCATAAGCTCTTGATTTATGAGATCAATTAAGTTATTCATTGAGATTATAATTCAATGCTACACACTTATCTTCTTGAATTTACTTAAGATAAACCATAAACACTTAAGTCATATATATTAAGATATTTTTGGCACTGTTTGCTTATTCATTTTATCAATTACTATACTTTAGAATACGTTTTTTATTTGACTAACAAGACTATAAATCTCCATTAGCTTAACATCCATTGAAAACAAAAAGTTACATACATAGAATTACATTTATTTGATCATCGACAAAAAAGATGATACTTACCGCATAACATTTAATTGAGAATATAGATTTTGTTTCTCTTCTTCTTGACTAATTAATTCATGCTTATCCCTTGAAATAATAAAAAAAACCATGAATAGAATTTTCAGATTAATTTTTATTATGAAATAATATCGAATCATTATACATTTATTTATTCTAATTTTAGATTTCTTTGCACTACCTTCATTTCACATCTAATTGAAAGTTAGATGTTTAATTATCATAATTCGTTGTGTAGTCTACAGAATTAAAGTACTAAAACTTCGGTACCTAGATGTTGATTGACTTTAATCAAATACCCAATTAATTATCAACTTCATACATATCATTATGTAAGATTTAATTTTTTTCTAGGTATTTAACAATCGAAGGTACACATAATCTGTATAAAAGTATGAAACATTACAATTCATTTAAATAAACCTATGGAATAATAAATAAATTAATATATTTCTAATATCCATAATGAGTAGAAAAATTAAATTTTCTCTGAAGAAGTGACTTACATTGAGTCATGAAATGTCAGAATCTAATCTAATTTTTTCTACTCATTGAATTATTTTAAAAATATTAAATAATTTGTAATAATCTAGCCAATGCTTAATTTACTTGAAATTATCAAATTAAACTTTGGTAATGATATCTACTATATAATAATAAATTACAATGGTTAAGATCATGAGTCAGTTGAAGCTAGACCATTGAAATTACTATAGTATTCACAAAACCCATCTGATATTAATCAACATATGCTTACTAGTGACTGGCTTCAAGTGGTATTTACTGGAGTTCTAGTGAGAAGCCGTGACCAGTGGAGTTCAACCGGGTCCATTGTGAGATAGTAACTCACTGATGACAATGGTGGATGTGTCGCTCAATCTCGTGGATTAGTTGAAGTTAGACATTAACACTGTTGGATGCCGGCTCAGTGGTCTAGTGGTTAAGTGCTCGGGCGCGGAACCAGTAGGTCCTGGGTTCGAATCTCGCAGGGGGCGAGGTCGTGGATGCGCACTGTTGAGGAGTCCCACAATAGGACGAAAAGGCCGTCCAGTGCTTTCAGGTTTTCCATGGTGGTCTAGCTTCAACTGACTCATGATCTTAACCATTGAAATTACTATAATATCCATAAGAACCATCTGATAATAATAAGTTCATTGAAATACGTATTTGAAAAGAAAAAAGATAATAAATGATGATTACATTGTTAATTGTGTTTCTTGTTGAATTAATTGATCTTTTAATGTTTTCAATTCAAATTCTCTTTGAGCTAGAATTGATAAAACATTTTGTAATTCAATTTTATATGAATTTTGTTCTATCGTTTCATTTTGATTAAGATGTTCATAATGTAAAGAAGAAATTAAAGAAGAATTTGATTTATCAAATGAATCAGTAAATTTTTTCAATATAATAGGACTATTCATTGAATCACAACAATTAGAGGAATGATTTTTAATTTTCTATATAAATAAATATAAAATAAAACAAAAATATCAAGCGGGAATAAGTTTATTTAAAAAAAAAATCTCGTAAATTATTAAACATATTCAATGAACTGGTAACTAGATTCATTCTACATATTATATCCATGCAATGAATACTAAATCAAAGGGGAATCACTTGAATATATTTATATTCAGAATAAATTAAACTGAGAGAGATTGAGAAGGATATATTTTTTCTATAAAAAAGAGCATTCCCTTTGTAGACTAAATTAAAATTTCATATTATATTAAAATACATTAAATTTGTTCTGATTCCTACCTAGAAACTGAATCATGGGATATTCGTTAAGAGTATCCTAATAAGTCAGTCCTTAAATCAGAATTTATGTCATCAATCAACTTAATGTTGATTGATTTATTAAAAATGCAAAAATTATCCAGTATATACAAAATAATTAACAATATTCTGAAATATTAAATGAAATTAGAAGTTTGAAACTCTTAACCTATCTCTAGAAAAAAATATATCATTAAATTTTGACTGAGATAATTACCATATGCTCACTAATGAATAGCTACGTGAGGGAAATCTTGGAGTTCCAGTGTGAAACCGTGACCAGTGGAGCTAATCCGTGTTGGGTAGAGACAGGTATCTACCTCAGTACAATGGAGGATGGCCGCGCAATTCCGTGGATTGGTTGGGGTTAGACATTAACACCGCTGGATGCCAGCTCAGTGGTTTAGAGGTTAAGCGTTCGCGCGTGAGACTGAAGGCCCTGGGTTCGAATCCTGCGAGCGGAACTGTAGATGCGCACTGCTTAGGAGTCCCGCACTAGAACGAATTGGCTGTCCAGTGCTTCTAGATTTCCAATGGTGGTCTAAAATCAGTCGGTTCATGATCTCAATCAAAAAAATCATTTGGTATCCACAACTGTTAGATTCATGAGGATGAAACAAAACGTGATTTTAAACTGTATTCAAAATAGCAGATTATAGATAACCGATATAAATTTATGTAAAGTGAATTAAAAGAGGTTTACTAACACTGAAACTAGAATAACTATAAAGTAAAAAAGGTCTGCTAAGTTTAACAATTGTACTACATACCCCATATATTAAGAAAAACTTTTATAGATACAAATAATTGAGTGTACAATAATTAAAGCTCAGATAAGTTAATAATAGTCAATTATGAATATTCAAACATCACTGAATGTTAGTATGCGATGTATGCCACTTATGTTGACAGATATAAGTAGCATGTAGCACCATTCGAAAGTGGGATGTCTGTGAGCAGAAGGTTGAGAAGACTGAAATGTAGAGATGAAAGAAGGAAACTGAAAGCAATTTAAATAACAACAGGAATTAAGGAACAATGAAGCTTGCAGGAGACAATTCAAAGATATGCAAATGATGTATTTGACGCATGATTTTCACACTAGCAAACCACTGTATGATTGTGCATTAAACAATAAATTGTTTTTCCCCACCAAGTCTTCCTTCGCTACAAATAAACCACTTGAGGCAAAAATCGATAAGAAAGCTCTTCTATGAATCAACCATAAGAAATAAACTCCAGTAATTTAAGATTTTAATTCTATCAAATTCAAGCTGAAACGAATTCAAATGCAATATTACAATAATTATTAATTATTACGATTACGGATAATACTCGTACACGTTGTAAACTTTCAACTTGTTCCCGTATTTCTGTGATTTCTTGTTCTTTGTTAGAGACCAGTGTTCTATACTCACTTTGTAACTTTTCATGTACCTAAAAAACACCGTACAGTAAAACGATGTAAAACAAATCTATTTAAAACAATGATATATATATATATATATATATATATATATATATATATATATATATATATATATATAGAATAAATTGTTTGGAGATTATCTTTCCACTACGAAGCAATATTTATCATGGAATAAATATAAGTAGAAAGCCAATAGAAGACTGATCCACTTTCAGAAAGATAATGAAATAAATTGGAGTATCCTATGTTCACTTGAAAACTGAACTGACAAACTGTAATAGAAACATCAGATAACTTTCAAGAATTTTGCAACAGCTATTACATTGATTATCAACGTATCGTTGAAAAATGTCATAGATCTTAATAAACATCACATTGATATTTATTCGAATTGTTTTTTTATTGTTGTTTTATCTATAAATTGATTGTAGGAAATCCGCCTTAATGTCCATAAGTTGTCATTCCACGTATATTAAATCACGGAAATTCAACGTGATTTACTTTTGTACTTCTATCTTGACTACTTACTAGTAGTTAACACAATATCTGGTGTTATTATTGTCTACTAATTTAAATTTTTGTAAAAAAATTTCTACTGAATATTGTGGCTAATATCAGGAATCTGTTCATCTACACGAAGAGATTACTAAGCTATCACAGAATAGCAAATTTCCAACTTAAATCTAATCACATCTCACTATCCAAGAATAAATTGTTTTTGATTGAGATCATGAACCGATTGGTGTTAGACCACCACAATTGAAAAACTGGAAGCACTGGACGGCCGTTTCATCCCATTATGGGACTCCTCAGCAGTGCGCATCCACGATCCCGCTCGCAGGATGCGCACTGCTGAGGAGTCCCATAATGGGATGAAACGGCCGTCCAGTGCTTCCAGTTTTTCAATTGTGGTGGTCTAACACCAATCGGTTCACGATCTCAATCAAAAACTTAATAATCTCCACAACCCCTATACTAGTAATAAATTGTTTTTCTAATATAATTGATTTTCGAATCTTAGTATGAGCAGTAATAATGATAATTCAAATGGGATTTTCTTTATAAAGTTTTTTTCATTCATTTTCTATGTATTTCTTACAATAAATAACTGCAAATATTAGTTTGAAGCGTACAAACATGAAAACTAACGAGCACTAGTAAGTGATTGTATAATAAGAAGCTTACTTCCGATTTGGCACGTTCCTCTATTGATTTGATCTGTAATTCAAGTTCACCTTCTAATCTAGATAAATCACTTTTACGTTTTTCCTTCTCTCTGTCATGATCACATAGAAAAATAAACAAAAATAATAATAAAACAAAATATGTAAACATTTTATTTTTGGTTGAGAACAAAATCATAAATTTAATAAATGAAAGACTAATATGGTGTTTCAAATTTTTTAGAGAATTAAGATATTAATCTAAAGAAGTATTAACAATGTTTCAAAATCAAGGGAAACTAACTAGTACTAAACAATCGGTTCTTCGTTATGATTTACACTAGCACTCGAAATCAATCTAATACACAATCACACTTTATAAATCTATGAAGGCCACATCTTGAAACGATGGAGATTTTACTAAGCCATAATATTTGAATTCAGTAAATAACAAATTCCAGTTACAATTGATTTTAAAGATGAAGGAACTGTCAACGCGAGCACATATCCTCACGCTTTAATTCAAGATCTTCATAGATTATTATCTTGTATCAGAAATTCTAGACATTTAAATCAAATTGAGTCACTAGTAAACATTAAATTCACTCTAATAAGAAATCAATCACAATCCTCGACAATACGTGATTTAGCGCTTTATGATATCAGTAGTACTCAAAAAGTAGGATTAAAGAACAATCCTTTTTTCCCGTTTTTCACTGATGTTTATGTTCGTGGTCTAAGCTTATTTAAACTATTCACTTTGATAAGCACTTTCATTAGGTCTTGCCATCAGAGCATATCAGAGTTTGATCGTCATTGAACTATGTGGCCTAAGACCATAAAGTTTTACTTTTAATATGAAACAAATTAAGTAAGTTCATAAAATATTATAGACCCTGATGGTATTCATTGATGAAGAACATTTTAAATATCTTCAGTTATAGTAATTAATAACTATGGTTTAGATTTAAGATGAATTATACACTTTCCCACCATCACAGTAATATATTACTGACAAATACTTTCCAAAACAATTTTTAGGTCTTCTTATCTGGGTTAACATTCAAGAAGAACAAATTCATACGCATATATACACACATGGCAGATAAATTGAAGTATTATGTATAAACCAGTTAGTTAAGAGAATGAAGCTTAAGAATCATGTCTTTTTATCAAATTAAACAGTTACTGATCTATACTAGAAATTTAACAGAAGTATTAAACATATTACTTAAAAACAATAGTTACTTTTTCCCAAATGACAATGCTAACTAGATGAACAACCGTGAGGTGCCAGAATAATTAAAGTTGATATGGAGGATATTACTTCTATTTTTTTAAAAAGTGATTTATTACAAGAAAACAAGAATAAACAATATTCTCATATTCAAAACAGAACATAAATGTAAACTCCTGAAATATATTTTTATGATCAGAAAAGGTATAGAAAACGTGACAGGAATTACAATAAAAAGTAATAAATGTAACATATTAAAAATTAATAATATAATTCGGAAATGTTTGACAGTTTAATAGAATAAATTTATCAATTTTTTCCTATTGAAGATTAGATATACAAGATACAAATAGACAGTTGGATAGGAAACAAAAAGACAACTAACCATTTGTCATTGTCATTTATTAAATTAAAAATGAGTAATAAATATAAAGGTTACTCCTGTTATAAACTAATGTCAGTAGAATAACAAACTGTTATTTTAAAATTAGTGAGCAGTTACTATACCGTCACGATTACATAATGTTTTAAATTCTATAATATTCAGTTATCAGTGACAAGTAAACTTTTTGAAATTTGGTTAAAAGTTCAGATGAAGCAATATGTTTTTAATAAAGCGTATCAATTTGGTCTATACCACTTGTAGTACAACCTGTATCATTTAATTTATTAGAACATTAAACCATAATTAGAAAGTTGTATTCGTGTCAAGTGATCAACTTATTGATAAGCATATAAGTATCGTTATCATTGATAAACGTACACTTATCCAGAAATATATCTTACTGTTTAAAATTCATTTTTTTCTAATATATAATAACTTTATGTGGTATCTTGAAGTAGCTATGAGAAATATATAATTATGTTTGTCTATATTTATAATCTACAAATTACACTCCTTGCTATTCTTACAAATTTAAGGATTCTAATCTTGAATGATCATCTTAAAAGATATACTAACGAAAAACAGAAATAAATATTTTGTAAGAAATTAGTTAGATAAAATATTCAGTAAAATGACAAACCACTATATCAATTTTACATATAAGTAATATATGCACTATGGTTCAATTACAATCTTACTATAGCACAATTGCACAGTATAATTACGGCTGAAAACTTAAAAAAACAGATCAACTAAGATTTAACATTGATCAAGGAATTAACATTAGAAATATGTACAAATTTTACAACCGGTTTCAACAAATCATTTCAAAAAATATACACCATATATACTAACAACATTTATCATTGACATTGGCTTTAATAATCAAACATCAATAGTTTTTTTCTGTTCCTTGTTTCTTTTTTTCTCCAAAAAGATACATTAATTAATATTACAGAAAAGAATAATTCACAACTAAATTGATTCTCACTTTTATTAATAAGACAACAGAACTAAAATCAAATTTTAAACGGTTTCTTAGAATAACTCCACCATCAGTTTAAGTAAGTAATATAAATTGGGAAAAAAAAGAAAAAAAACAGAATAGATGTTTTAATTGTATTCACAAGGCATTCGGGAAAAATTAATCACTAAGACCATGAAAATAAATAAAGTGAAATAATAAAGATATAGATATTTTTAAGTATCTAATCTTCACTAAAATAATGAAGCTTTTCAAGTTTATATTGAATAATGTCTTAGCGACAAAATCATTATTGTATTACATATATATGCACAATAGTTTCGTGATTTTATCCAATAAGCGGATAAAGATTTTTCAAAACGTAAAATGTAGTTGCTTATGACTTAGGTTAATTTTTACGTTTCCTTTAAAACCTCTAAAAAATAAAGTTTAATTTATAAGTGGATAAAGGAAACTTCGCTTAGTTTCACCTTGTCATTCATCATCAGTATAAATGCTTACAGATTTATTTCAGTAAATGAATAAATTTATTCAATACTTTATTTACTGATCTGTATAAAGTTGTGGAGATTATTGAATTTTAATTGAGATCATGAACCGATCAATGTTAGGCCATAATTGAAAAGCTGAAATATTTTATTCATTTTTATTATAACATTAAATACATTATTATAATTATAAACTAAACAAATCTAAGTAGGTTATCTATTCTCTTTATTAAATTATTCATTAATTTCATCAAATCAGTTCAATATACTAGAGTCACTGAGAACGATGAAAATGCAGTTGAAACTATCTATCACAATAGAGTTTTTCAAACTAAATATGCATTGTACATTAAAGGAAGCAAAACTTAACGTTCATTCACTAAAATAATCAGTAGGATTATAAATGACACATTTAATATTCAAACGACAGAAAGCCTGTTTCAATGTTAAGCTTCTAAAGACTTTCATCATCCATGTTGCACTTATTTACTGATCAGTTTGGTTTTAAGTTCATCAGTACGACTGCTGTAGACTAGTTAAAATTTTGTTATTGTGACCGAGTGTTTAAAGTTTACTGTTTACTTTGTTTAAACATTTGACAAATTACAATTTGGTGCTTAATACTGTAAGGCTTATGTTATCCGTCATGTTTTAAATGCTCAATAATTGTTAATAATAAATATATTTTCGTTATATCCAAATAAGTAGAAAAATTGTATTCCTTGAGTTTCGTGACTTAATGTAAGCCACTTCGTCAGAGTACATATATATAACCCTTAAAATGTAATAAAAACATCAAGAATTATTTTATTCATTAAATAATTTGGAAAAATAATGAGAACAAAGGGAATACATAGATGTATAAGCTGTTTATATCTTAAGGAAATGCTTAATTTGAACCTAATCTTAATTATTCCTCTGATAATGAAAAATGTATGGACAGAGTTTTCATCATAAGGTCTCCAAAGAAAGTTTACCACAGTCATACAAATAGGATGTTTATTCATATAAACCAGTAATTATTTCATTTTCTGAAATATGGGGTGTATTACTTGCTAAATATGGGTCGTTTGATGTATTTAAAAGATTTACTTGATATTTTGTTTCAAGCAATGAAGTAACTTTTTAATAAAACAACTAGTGATGATAAAACTAGTGTTAGGGAAAGTCTGTAATTTATGGACGAACCACTCAAAATTAAGACGAAGATACTCGAATTTCGGCCCGAAATTCACTCATCCATATAACTAAATAGTATTTTGTCATTACGGATTATGTCAATTCATGATGAAAACTTTAACTCCTGATCACGATTGCTCACAATAATTAATGACCTTATTATGACACTGGTAAATGGGTAAAGTTTTCTAAGATCATTACAGGATCGCTCGAATATCGTCCATAAATTATAGTCTCAGCAATGTTAGTCTCAGAGTATGGGCTTGTTTCTATGGTAAATGTATAGGGTCAGTGAACTCCAGTCCAATTATCCCTCAAGGTGAACACAATCATGCCTTAGAAAACTGATTGCTAAACAATGAACGGTTTTCCGAAGTTCGTAAAATGAATGGACGAATGATGCGAATGCATCATTCAATGAGACATCTCCAGTATATGCGGTAGAGTAGTCCCAGTTTATATACATTAGTATCTGTTAATCTATTCTATTAATAAACGTTTAACTGGTTCTATGAGTTCTCTAAAAGCCTTAAACAAACATAATATCTCTACCACAAGGTAAGAGTTGGTTGGGCTAGTAAATCGTTACATAGTAGTGCTTCAACATGAGATTACCTACGTCAAGCAGTCACATCATCATAATCAATTATCGAAGATCGTTAACTGAGCAATATAACTAAGATTCATAATATCGATTTAGCTTTCACGCCTACAAATGCAGCTACATGAAAATATTTCAAATTGCTAGAGAAAAATGTAAGTTGTGATAATGAATGCCACTGAAAAAGTGATTTTGAGAGTACTTGTAGATTTGCTTAACATTTAAGATAACTTTGGAAAAACTGTTTTACTACTTCCAACTACTAAGTAGCACATGTCTCTAACAAAAATCTTTCAGTCCATGATCTGATGATGTACAAAACGAACAGAAATTAAAGTCTGTTTGATAAAATCGGTGACACTCTTCAGGTTTCCAACAAACTCATTTATATTCAAAGTTGTCAGATAAGTATTTATTGTTAAATATTCTTTAAAAGTATATATTTCTATTTTTACTGAGATCACGAACTGATCTAAGTTATACAACTTCTGGAAGCCTGAGAACACTGGATTGTCATTTCGTCTTAAAGTGGGACTCTTCAGCAGTGTGCATACACAACCTTAGAACTAATGTCAGACTCAGGCCTTCAGTGTCGACAGCGAAATTCTAATCTCTAGACAACCAAGTCAAACTCAAAGCATACAAGTTTAACTTCAATCAGTCGAATATGCTGGGCGACTATGGTTGCCTAACTTAGATTGATTTGTGATCTTAATAAAACTTAAAAATCTCCACAAATCTCTCATAATGAGATGTTGTTCTGATAGTGTAGTGATAAGATGGAGTTAATCCGAAAAGTGTGATTTGTTTTCGCTAAATATTTCGAAGAATTTGGTTACACATATACCTGTTAACTTATTTATATACGAAGAAATACTGAGGATAAAGTAAATATATAAAGTGAAAAATGAAAATATATGAGAGAAGAAAGAAATATAACATGTAAACAATAAGAAGTTGAGATAGTTTAAAAGATTTGTAGCTTAGGTGGATGATTTTGGTGGAGATTTCCAGTGAATAGTTTTTATACAACATTTTGAAAGTTGTACTATGGACAATTCTATGCCATGTTTCAATCGTGCATTCTGTTAATTTCCTTGTGTGAGGAAGTAGTAAGTTACCCTGAATCCTAAGAAAGTAACACAGTGTCTGGATGACATCTATGATTATAACAATAACTTTCAATTGTAACTATAACATTGGTAAATTAAAAATGATATCTTAGCCAACAGGGGATATGATCATTTCTATCAGAGCTATCTAATAAACTAACTTTCATTTAAATCATTAATCCCTCAAGAAATGAAAAGCGTTAGTGAAACAACCTTATGATAGCTGTCATCACCATGTCATTATGATTATCGGTGTTTTTTGAGCATATATGATCTACTCCATTTGCAGACTGTTAACAATTAGAAGTTAATGCTCTGTAATAAACACACAATGTCACATATACAAATCTTATCGTGAATTTTTTAGGCATTAACCATACAATCAAATAAAAAATCAGAAACTTTACTATTAATAAAGTGTTAATCATAAAAATGTCTGATGATATGTCATTGAAAACTGACATTATACACAAGTTAATTCAATATTATTAATGGTAAAACAATTCTTGAAACAAAAAAGAAATTTTAATGCAATTCTGTAGAAAAAATTTTTTTTCAAAAAGCTCCTTCAAAATGTATTTGTGAATAAGTAGGCTTTATTATCCAGTCCATTACTATTATCAATATTATTGTTATTATTATCACTATGGTTGAGTTTTTGGAAACAGTAACAATAAATATGCTTTGTAATTTGACAAAAATAGTAATCGTGATTTATATGTATCCATGCCAAAATATGAAAATGTCATACAAACGTTTGCATAACACACAAATAACAAAAAATATACTCATACGACTCATTGAATATTTTGACAATTATATAAGAAAACCAAAACACATGAAAAAGATTTTCTAGATTGTTTTAAAATGTATTTTAAAATGTAGATAAGTAATTCTATGCGCATTAAGCGTATAAACAAATTGATTCAATTGGAAGCTAGGTTTATTCATAAACCGATACTAACTGATGAAATATTGTAAGCTAAAAGATACTAGTTTCCGGTGATACATTAACTGATATCAGATTACCAAAGCGGTTTGTAGAGATTCTTAAATTTTATAGTTTAGATTGCAGACTGATAATTGAAAACTGGGGTGTATTGGTCCACTGCTCCTAGTCAATCATAATTCATATGATCACTGAATTGATTTTATGATATCCTACATCAGTATTTACGGAAATAATTTTGAAGCCATTGAATTATAAAACAATATTCAATCAGTATTTTGTTTTCTTCCGTTATGCATGTTTGTTTTCGAAACCTTAGATAGAGGTTGATGTGAATATATATGTAAGTTGATATACACATCTAAACTGTTTGATAAGGTTACCAGATTGTTCAGAACAATGAATACATTCTAATAAATATTACAGAACAATTAATATTGAATAACGTTTGTTGTCATTCGTTATTTTTCGAGAAATTGAAAAGTATGTCATCGATATAATACACAGGCAAGATGGATATCCAGTTGAATACAAACTCATTATACCCTCTCATTTTCTAAATAATCTCAAATGACACTATACCAAGTTACGAAGTAGTCAAAATAATAAAAAAACTTCAGAAGAGAAATAATGAAAGCAAAAACTGATGTGTGTAAGAAGTAGGATAGATTTCTTATACATCTTATAATGCAGTAATCTGGACATCAGTAAAATTGTAAGATATTTCCGGTTACCAGATTATTTTGTCTGAGCTTTCGTTTGTTAATGATGAAGAATAAAATCTATCTCATGATAGAATTCTAATCTTCATTCAAGAGTTTAACGATGAAACACTATTTATTACATAAAAGTATTACTAATAATTATTCATTTTTATTTAAGAATCAAATTAATATGAATTACTTACTTTATGTATGTTTCTTCCAAATCGATTTTTTCTTTTTTAGTTCGTAAAAGTTCATTTCGAAAATCATTTAGAACAATTTTGAACGGACTTAATAATTCTGGATAATTCTGTGATATTACACTTTCTAATTCACAAACACTACTGTATCTAGAAAAAAAAACAATCAGAAAACGAAATAGAGGAAAGTAAGATAAAAAAACAAAAAGTGACTATTTAATAGCTACATTAATAGAGTTTGTGTCATTAGCAAAATATACTACTAAATTTACACTATAAGCAGAAAGACACTACTGATACTACTAAACAACTCTCAAATGCATTCACTGATCAGACTGTTCAGCCTAATTTTCGCCATACAAAATAGTATTGAAATCCACTCTGAACAATGGAAGTTGAGATACTAGATTTCGATTGGCCTAATTTAGTCAAACATACTGAACCCATAAGTTGTGGCCAAACTCCTCATGTTGTTCAGCAGTCAATTAGGATATTGAAAGTACATTTAAAATAAATATTTGTAAAGAAGGGATAACTAGTTGATCAATAATCTGTGTCGTTATCGAACGTAAATGTATGAATTTCAAACTATCGAACCTGTAACCTGCATTTGACCTACAATATTCCATTGAAATTATTGGTGAAACATTACGATTTAGGAAATATATAGACTAAAATTTGAATCGTCCTCTTCCATTGCATTCAACACTTAATTTATTCTCTTGATTTTCAACCTCGATTATTCATTTGTTTTGTGTGCTACATTGATAATTACCTCCGCTTTAAAAATACTTACATCAATGACTGTATCTCACTTCACTAACGAAAAGACAAGGATATTCAGTGTTTCATGACTGTTATGCTTGAGTGCACTCACTAGACTTCTCTTCACGCTTCCATTTTTCCTGGCTAACTTTAAATATATCCTCATCGTATTACTGATTGTTTATTGTAGGGATACTTATAGAGCAGTTAATCAATTTAAATAAAAGTCTATCTAAATCAGCAAGCGCATATATGACGACAGATCTGTCACAGTAATTTTTGTTATTGTTCTATGTTCTCTATTTTTGTTCCGTTTCGTTTTCCTCCCTAATTACAGATGATTATAAGCAACTTATAACAATACTGGAATCGCTTTGCCAAAACTTACGTCTCAGATTATCAAATAAGAAAACACTGCTTCCCAACTACTTGCTTCACATAATTATTATAGTCATTCCTACAAATGTTCCATCAAAACAATCTCTAAATCACATCTCTTCAAACAATATACTAAGTTCTTTTTATGTTACGATTCTTTATGCAGCAACCTGACCATGCCTATGAGCAGGCATGCATTCTGTAGTCATTTTCACAATATAATTTATGGGCGGTATCAATACCAAAGTTGGAATTGATGGTTTCAAATAAATTGAGCATTAGGTATAAAGTTGATAAAAATATAATAATGATACTTTTGTGATATAAATATTATTAAAAAAAATATTAAAACAAAATTATTTATCTATGAATGAAAACTTAAGTGAAAGATCTTGGATTGGTACTGCAGTTATACCTTACCGTCAAGGTACAGCAGAATTACAACAGTTCTTGAAATCTTACAGGATTAAAGCCTTCGATAAAACATTCAACGCTGTAAAACGGTCTAGTTAAAAATAAAGATACGATCCCATTTGCATTCACATAATATGGTATCAACAGCTCAAGTTGCGCCGATTGGAGGGTCGACTCGTGCCGAGGAACACTTCACTTACACAAAAAGACCTAAAAATCTTATAGAGCTGGACAATTTCCAAATTAAATCGGCAATAGCAGTATATGCTATTTTCAATAATCGGCAAACTGATATTAAAAATGTTGAAACGACTTCAGAAAGGTTTTTCCAACTGTATAGAGAGGTGACTAACCGAAGTATTTCATACAATGCTAAATCCCTCTGCTCTCAATAAAAAGGAAGGTCTAACTATCCATCTAACTTGAACGTTTTATTCAAACAATTACAGTTGACTCCATTCATTTTCCACACAGTCGACACACAAGCACACTGAAACTTTAACTACATTCCAACATTTTGGAAATCATACATTTTTCATACCCACCAACATAAATACAAATAAACACAGTGATGTCTCATACAGAATCATCATGACCAAAAGTAATATGACATTGACACACTCGGACCTATTGTGATTTTGATTGTCTTAAAATGTATTCCACTTTGTTTATTTTGTACCATTTAAACTCATGTCAACTTATTTCGTTTGTTTATTTACTTATTTACTCCGAAGAAGTGGCTAATATTCGGTCATGAAGTCAGAAATACAAATTTCTACTGGTGAGTATATCCTAAAATACAATTATTTTATTATTATTTTAAACGACATAACTGAATCATAATATTTTGACTGAAAATTGTAATACATCTCAGGCCTACAGGAAGTCGGTTACGGCCCGGATAGCTCAGTGATAACGTCTCTGACTGTGACGTTGGGTGGCACAGGGTCGAATACATCAGTGAGCACCAGTTCCCTCAAGGTTACAAGTACACTTTGCTGACGAGTGCCAAGTTGCATGAGACCTAGGTCCAGGGTTTTCTGTTGACTACCACCAACCATCATCTCATCTCAACATAGTGCACGCAATGTCGAGTCACCTAAACTAGTGGCCACATTACAACTTGGTCGACAGGATTCGATCTGCACTAAGAAGGACCTGACGTATATGAAAGTGATCACCACCCAGTGACCAATCAATTGAATATTCTACACACAAACAACAGTATTAAGTCCTCAATACTCGTGCACATAGTTATTTAGCAATAAGATTATCATTTTAAAATTATTTAGCTAGGATTTGAGAATATATACCGTAAGGAAATTATCAACTCAGCCACCCAACTCACTCCAATACTTTTACCAATTAACATAACTGTTGTAAAAATGATTTATTCCAGTACATAATAAATAATTGACTTGGAGATTGGTTAAAATAAGTAGAATAATGTAATAACTAAAAAGATAATCTATTCGTGTTCACATCTTAGAAAGAAAATCATATCTCTAGTATAAAATAAAGTGCGAAAAATCATTTAACTTTTTGTTACCATGATACATCATAGAAGAGTCAGTTGAAAAATTCACTTATTAAATTTTTTAATGAACAACTAATCAAATCATAGTATAACTTAGATAATAATCTGATCTTAGCCAGTCATTACAAACCACGAAACACTGGACAGTTGTTTTGTCGTAGTGTGTGACTTCTCGGTTAAGATCAGTCCATGACGTGAACTATGAAATCCAACAGCTTACACAAATCCTTCCCACAATAATGGTTAAAATAATAAAACTTGGTTAGATAAACATAACTGAAGAAAAAAGACACGCATATTTTACAATAATTCACTTTTTAAGTAGATCTGCTTCAACCTTTACATTAATAAAACAGGAATATTACTATGGATAAATGAAAATATTAAATCAATCAAAGCAAGGTTACCCAAACTGATTGTATTATTTTTTGTGTGCTACAATAATTTCAGTTTTGAACTATTTCGATCAGTAAGATTTATGTCAGACAAATAAACGTAGTTCAGTAGAACACCCTGAAAATCCTTTCATATCATAGAATATTTAAAATACAATCAGTAGATAAAATGCAGTTGACGTTTTTTCTGAAATAACACTCACTAATCAAGTAATTCATCGGCATTGCTTTCATTGGTTCTCCCTACAAAAATTATCAACTACATAGTACCAGTGTGTACAAGCCCATATCGCATCTAGAAAATGGGCGATTTACACATGAATGGCTAAATTACCAACACACATGTAAACGTCGGTGTGTCTGCACAAAATAAATTTTATTTATGACAAAAGATAATTTTCTTGATATTGTTTTACTTGAATTTTCCCAAGCAAGTGGCTATCAGGACTCAGTAGCTGAGTGGATAACGCGATGGCGTTTGAAGCGAACGGCACTGAGTTCGAGTCCCAGAGTGAACATCAACTCTGAGATGCAGGTACATCCAGCTGACGAGTCCCAAACAGGACGAAACGCGCGTCCTGGATTCCACTGCTAGCCACTATCCATCTTTGCTTATAAAAGATAATTTTGTTCTAATGGACCCAAAATCAGAATGTCTACTAGTTAGGTCCAAGTTTTAATTGCTTTGCCAAGTCATTAAACGCTTATTATGTAAAACTGACGTAACGTGTGATATATTGTGCATTGCTCATACTGGACTATTATTTTATATTCATTCATTCTGAATATTTTGAAAACAGGTCAGAGAGAAACAACATAGCCTTCATCTCAGTAGTAATGACAATAATAATAATCTGTGAGAAGTTTCGTTACAACAAAATAGATATATTAAAACGGATTCCGTACAGAACAAATAAGAATTACATATTCAATTCGGTGGGTAGATTGTGTCCTGCTTACCACAAGGCTTAAGAGTCTTTAGTTCACGATTCGATGCACTGTTGCGTATTTCAGGAGTCCAAACAACGGTAATGTGCTATCCTAGCTGACATCACTTCATAAGGAAAATTTTCTGACTCTTATACATGTATAACACTTTTGAGGTTAAGTATTTGTAGATTTTGTTACTCGGTTGCAAAATAAATGGTTTCAAGGTCTAAATATACTTTGGGAAACGATAAAATGATTACTGTGAATACTAGACCATAGCAATTCCTATATAGCAGTGAGTACAGAGTATTATACACTAAATTAATGTAACAGACTAGTAAATAAACACATTCAGAAATTATTCTTGCTTCTAAGGTTTCAAAGTTTGTTGTTCATTTGGAAGCACTTTACAAAAGAACTTAATATCATGTTTTCCACTTGCTTTTAAAGTGTAGCTAAGAACTATAGGAAACTCATTACTTTCCCAAGAATTCGAATTCATGTATAACTCAACACCACGGATTAAAATGTGCTACCAGTACATTGCTTAGATCATAATCAGCCTCTGTTATTACTGTGCCATCTAGATAAAGTGAACACCGAATGTAACTGCAACTAACCGATACATTAACCAATGAAAGAAAACATGAAAAATGAATATGAACCTTGAAAATTCATGATCGGAAACCAGGAGTCTACGAGTTGGTGCTTGATCAATGTCTGTATTTGAT